TCTTCCTACACTTTGCCCCTTGGCTTCTGACGCTGAGTTCCCCCGCACGCAAACAGGGCTAAGAAAAGATTGAGGAGACAAACCTTGGCGGGGGGGGGGCAGCAAGTCTTGCCCGGCCACCTCTCTACTGCCCACAGGCCTGGAGGACTGGATCTGCGCAGGTGGGCATTGGGGACCATGGGGGTAGAGGGGGACAGTCAGAACCGGGAGTCCTGGGACCCAAGTGTGGGCCAGGATGGAAAGGTTAGAGGGAAAAGAAAAGGAAGCGCCCCAATGGTCTCCCACTGCTGACCCTCATGTCCACTCTGCATCAGACACTGGAGACTCCGGGTTTTGCCAGGGTCCGAAGGGGTGAAGCTCAGGGAGGCAGAAAGTCGAGCCAGGTGGGGAGAGAAAAGCCACGCCAGGGTAGACGCGTGTCCTGCTGGGAAGCTCCTGCCAGTTGAGGGGGGTGGCCTCGGCTGTGGACGAACCACCCACAGCATCCTGCTGTTCACAGAGGGACGGTCACCAGCCGCAGGGAGCCACCCCAGGCCTCTTTGACCATGGAGATGCAGAGGCCACGGGGAAGAGAGATGCGGAAAGTCGGGAACTGTGGGGAGGAGGCTGCATCGCCGCGGGAAGGACATGTGCCGAGGCTTCCGTGTAAAGCGGGTAATTACGTAGTAATGAGGCCGAGGACATGACAAAGGACGCTGCCATTTAAACCTCCACGTCTCAACAGAATCCCGAGGGGGAAACTCCCTCCAGCCACACAGTTAACATCCGAGTTGCCATAACAACTTTCTCTCATGCGCTGGGACCATCGGTGGTGGGATCGTATTTTTAGCCCTGATGGGGTTGAAGCATACTTTCTCTTTATATAGCAGCTAATTTTTCAAATTACTGATCTTTTGAAAAAAAAAATTCCATTTTCATGCTCTCAGAGAGTAAAAGTCTCAGGGATAATTACTGAAATGAGCAGGTGTGAAAGTCCGTTATGGGAACGTTCTGGAAGCACCGATGTCTTGACAACGTTCGCTTCCGTGGAGAGCTCTCTGGAACTGCCCTCACTGCTGTTCCCTGTCAAGCTGCTGGAATATAAATCCTCTCCGAGAGGCTCATAAATATTTGAAAAATGATTAGCTCTGGAAGGTGTTTGTGGATTATTTGACAAGTACGGATTTATGCTGTGGAACAGAGACGGGCTTAGCTGAGTCTCGGGGAAGAATAACAGGCGGCTTCACCCAGTGCACCCCATTCCCAGCCAAGGCTGGCCAGGCGTTGACAGACCTGAACTGGGGAGACTGGGCACCCAGGAGGGGCTCTGTGATGCCAGTGTGTCTCCCCATGTCCAGAGAGTTAGCCCGGGGGCTGAAGCAATAGTATCGGGGCAGAGCACTTGCCTTGCACGCGGCCAACCTGGGTTCAATCCCCGGGACCCCATATGGTCCCTCAAGCCTGCCAGGAGTAATTTTTGAGTGCAGAGCCAGGAGTAACCCCTGAGTACTGCTGTGTATAGAATTAAATCCAAAGGGGAAGGGGAGAGAGACAGACAGACAGACAGGGACAGAGATAGAGAGAGACAGAGACAGAGGCAGAGAGACAGAGACAGGGACAGAGATAGAAACAATGAGAGAGGCAGAGAGAGAGAGGGAGAGACAGAGACAGAGAGACAGAAATAGAGAGGCAGAGACAGAGGGAGAGATAGACACACATAGACAGAGATAGAGAGACAGAGAGACAGAGACAGAGATAGAGAGACAGAGATAGACAGAGAGAGAAAGATGGAGGCAGAGAGACAGAGAAAGACAGAGACAGAGACAGAGGGAGAGAAAGGGAGAGAGGAAAGGGGAGAGATGGGAGGGAGGGGAGATAGAGGGAGGGAGGAGAGAGAGGAGGGGGGAGGACAGAGAGAGAGAGAGAGAGAGAGAGAGAGAGAGAGAGAGAGAGAGAGGAGAGACATTAACTCTCAGCCCCAGGGGCCAAGCCCTTCCTGGGGCCCAGACTTCCTTGACTAAACACAGCGTGAGGCTGAGAACCAGGTCTCGGGCCACTCTGCCCAGGCCCTGGGTGTCAGCCCAGTCAAGTCCCGCAGTAAGGACAGGCTGACTGTGTTCCCTCCTGGGGACGTGAGGACACAGCAGGGGGGAGCAGAGCTATCACCGCTCTCCTGGGAACAGTGAGGACACAGGTGGCTGATGTGGAGGCAGCTGCTGGCCTCCGTGGGAGGGACCTTGGGTGGGGGGACCGTGGGTGCTTCTGCACGTCACAGCGGCAGTGCAAGACCCCGGCCAGGGCCCGCCAAGGAAGTAGAGGGGCCATGAGGGGCTGCCCGTCCCCAGCTTCCCCGGCAGGAGTAGGCACTGTCACAGCTGGCGCCAGCGGGTCCATGAAGCGAGTCCTCTTGGCAGCTGGGCTGGTGTCCCCATGGCAAAGAGTCCAAGGCACAGACACCAGAACCTTACAGGGGCTGCTGCATGCCAGGAGAGGGGGCGTCTGCGAAATTCATTGGATTTCTTTTTAGTGGGGGGTTTCCCGAGTACTCAGGGAGTTTGGGGGCCCTCCTGGTGACACTCAGAAGCGCCTGGTGGTACTGGGGGGCATCAGGCTCACCCCAGCAGTGCTTAGGGCCTCCACGATGCTTGGGATGGGGTGGGGGGCAAGTGGTGTTGGGGTCGAATTCAGGTGCTGGTTCCCTCAAAGCAAATGCCCCAACCACTGAGCTTTCCTTCCTCATGCCCATCCATTCTTTTTTTGTTTTTGAAGGGTTTATTTATTTATTTATTTGCTTTTTGGGGGGTCACACCCAGCAATGCACAGGGGTTACTGCTGGCTCTGCACTCGGGAGTTACTCCTGGCAGTGCTTAGGGATGCTGGGAATCGAACCCGGGTTGGCAGCATGCAAGGGAAACATCCTCCCTGCTGTGCTATCGCTCCAGCCCCTCATGCCCACTCATTCTCATCTCATTGTTCTGTCAGCGTTGACAATGCATCTCTCCAGGAAGGCAAACACAAGGGTTGGAGGAGAAGGTGAGAGCAGGGAGGGTTCTGGCGAGTCACATCTGAGTAAACTGTGAAACGGGTATGGGCCCCCGGAGGAAGTCTGTGCCATTCTCCCATGAGAGGGGCTGGCATGCTCTTAGAGCTCCTGGGCCTGAGCTGCTGAGATGCCCATGGCCGGCCCCGACTATGGGATGAGGTGGAAGTGTGCATCTGGGTCCTCAGGAGCACCAGCTTGTTTGGGGACATCAAGTCCCCACCCCCCATGGATTGGGAGGGACCCACTGCATTGCTTAAAGAGTTTTTTTAGGCTTGGGCCACACCCTGTGGTGTGCCAGAGTCTCAGGGTCTGGGGGCTGCGTGAACAGTGAGTTCTCAGCTATCTCAAAGGGGGCAGGTTCTGAGCCCCCTGGAGCCTCTTTGGGTGCTCCTGGCTAGGAAGCTGGAGTTGGAGTTTCCCAGGGCTGAGAGGGGGTGGGAGGACGAATCTCGGAGAAGGCTGGGAAGGCTCAGAGGGTCCCAGGCCAGGCTGTTGGACCCGTGGGAGCAGAGGTGGCCTTTCTCCTCACTGCTCCCAAGGCCTGCTGTGGCTCTGGGCTTGGGAATGTTCTGGGGGCTGGCTGCCCAGTCTGGGGTCCTGCCTTAGCCTGCGGCCTGGCCTCTCTGCCCTGTGCTGTGTACAGGCAGGTGCCCGGGGTGAGGGCAGTGGGGAGGGCCAGGAGAGTGAGCTCCGCCCTCAGCAGGGGTCCAGAGGTTAAGACCAGGGAAGTGGGGGGCTTTGCCAGGACACCCCAATCCAGCTCAGAGCAGGTCTGAAGGGACGGTGAAGGTGTCAGGCTACCACCCCGGGCAGAGCGGGAGGTGAGCGGGAGGTGAGAAGGGCCGCAGATGTCCCGCCTCAGTCCTGGCATGGAACGGACCCGCAGACTTAGCAAAGGGGGTCCTGAAGAATCCAGGCCCAGAGAGATTCCTGGGAGAGCCGCAGCGGGCAGCGGGGCCTGTGGGCAGTGGGCAGGCTCCCTGTGCCCCACTCCGCAAGGCCAGGACAGAGAGGTCTCCGGAGTCCCAAGGGAGCCACGCTGGGGACCAAGCTCCAGCCCTGGAGCCCTGTCTGGCTCTGGGGGAACCAGATGGCCCGTGACACCCAGGAGGGCAGCTCCATGAAGGGGGGGCTCCCCTCCTGCAGGCCTTGCTTTCCTGGGTGCCCCCACCCCTGAGTCTGTCCTGGGAAACCTGGAGGCTCATTTCAAGCAGTGCCCCCCCAAAAAGAGGAGGTTTGCCTGGTCAGCAGCTGGGAAACAGGTCTGGAGATGGGGGCGGGTGGGGCGGGGCCAGGAGGGAGGGGGCGGGGCGGAGAGGACTGGGCGGGGCATGGTGGGCGGGGTCAGGACGGACGGGGCGGGGCCACGAGGAAGAGGGCGGGGACAGGAGGGAGTGGGCGGGGCACGTATAAGGAAGTGGGCGTGTCCGTGGCAGACCAGGCCTGACCGGGCAGGCGTGGCCGGGATGGAGTGGGCGGGGTCAGGGCGGAATGGGCGGGGCCACGAGGGAGCGGGCGTGGCCAAACTTGGGGCTGTAATTGACCTGGACCTTGGACCTTGGCCGCTCTTCTTGGACTTCTCCCACCTGTAGCGGGAGGGAAGGGATCGCGTGGACCTCCAGATTCCTTCTGGCTAGAAACTCCTTGGAGTTCTCTGGAAGCGGCGCCTGCGGGGGCGGGGGTGTCGGAAGACAGGGCTGGAGACGAAGGGGACCCCAACACCTGACGGGGCGGGTCAGCTCGGGGTGGGCGGCCAGAGGGAGGGAAGAGGAAGGGCGGGGCGGGGATCCCCCTGCGCCCGCCCCTGGCCCAGCCCCGCCGCCGGGCCCAGCCCGGCCCAGCTTCCCCGTCGGCCGGTCACTCTCGGTGCCTCCCGCGCCCCTGCCCGCGCCCCTGCCCCGCGCCCTGCCCGCGGCCAGCCCCGCGCCCCCGCCCGCCGCCCGCCAGCGCTGCCCGCGTCCGCGCCCCTGCCCAGGGCATGGCCCGCCCGGGGGCCGCCGCGCTGGCGCTGGCGCTGGCGGTCCTGGAGGTGACCCTGCTCGGGGCCCAGGACGCAGCCCTGGACGAGCCCGACTACTCGCTGCGGGAGCCCTGGAGCCCGGAGCCCTACGGCGACGCGCGGCCGGAGCCCGAGCCCGAGCGGGTCCCGCCGCCCGCGGGGCCCAGGGAGGAGCCGCGGCCGCCCCCGAAGGCCACCCCGCCCAGGAGGGCGCCCAGGAGGGGGAAGCCGGCCGCCGCGCCGCCTCCCGAAGGTGGGTGACTGCCGGGGCCCCACCTGGCCGTCGCTGCGCCCAGGGGCGCGCGGGCTCCAGGCGTCCCCGAGACCCCGCGGCCGGCCCCACCTCTCCCCAGGCTCTGCGCTGCACCCCGCGGAGCCCCAGGTGCTCCTGCAGGGCAGGGGTCAGAGGGCAGAGACTCCCCCAGCAGTTGGTGATGCTGGGCTCTCTCGGCGCCAGCTCTGACTTGGAAACTTCCCGGGCCTGGCCGCTGCCTCCTGCCTTCCCTGCCCGCTTCCCCCTTCGCCGGGCGGGCGAGAATTTCCGAGCTGGCCCCAGTGCAAGGCTGGCCGTGGCTGGCAGGGTTTGCTTTTGGCGCGCGACTGCTCCGGGGAGAGCTCAGACATACCACCAGACCGGTGTTTCCTCCCGGCTGCCTCCCTCCAGCTTTCTGGAGTCCCGGGAGGGGAGAGGGGCTGCCCAGGTTTGCAGCCCTGGGCAGGAGCATATCCTGCTTTGGATTGTGTCCATGGAGAGGGCGAGGGCGAGGAGGGGGATGCTGTGAAAGGCCCGACTGCCACCCTGCAGGGGCACCTCCTCCCTCCTGCCCCCTTTGATTGCTGTTGGTGAGCTCTGAGCACCGGGCCCCGAGCAACAACCCAGCCAGCTTATGATCAGCTGTGTCCACCCTGTGTGACCTGGTCTCCCTCTTCCTTGACCAGCATGTTTTCTGCTGCGATTATCAGTGAGCCTGTATGAATGAACTGAGGTCTCGGGGTTCAGGACCTGGGACGGGGGTGGCCGGTCTCGCTCCCTGGACCCTGGACGGCCTTGAGAGATAAGGAGGCACCTCAGCTCCCGTCTGGGCATCACTGCCTGGGTGTGGTGATGTTGTCCAGTTGCTCAGGAAGATCAACGGTCAGAGGGGTTAGGGAGACCCTCCCCTGGTGCCCCTTAACCTGTGAATGGCTGAGGGGGACTGAGGGAATGGGTCCCACCATGTTTCAAGGTGAATTCGTTCCCCTCATAGTGAATGAAGGGCTGGAGTGATAGCACAGCGGGTAGGGTGTTTGCCTTGCACACAGTTGACCCGGGTTCAATTTCTCTGCCCCTCTCGGAGAGCTTGGCAAGCTACGGAGAGTATCCCGCCCGCACGGCAGAGCCTGGCAAGCTCCCCATGGCGTATTTGATATGCCAAAAACAGTAACAATAAATCTCACAATGGAGACGTTACTGGTGCCCGCTCCAGCAAATCGATGAACTAACGGGAGGACAGTGCTACAGTGCTACGTAGTGAATGAACCATGGTATAAGTTGGGGGACCCTGAACAGGACTGCAGGATGCCACTGTTCTGTGGGCTCTCTGGGAGACAAGCGTGTGAGTGATGTGCTGGCGTGGGGATAGGGCTGCTATGTCGCCCTGCCCTTGTCTGCTCTTCCAGGTGCCCAAGGGCTGGGTGATCCTCTCCCCCACCCACACCCCTCTCCTCCCCACCGGAGATGCTGAAGAGGTTCCGACAGGCTGGGTGACTGCTCAGTCTCTCTCATTCCCAGGCTTGGAAAATCTTCCTGTGTTTTTCATTCAAAGCCTTTTGGGGTTAGAATCAAATTCGTGTGTGATCAGCCAAGCGCTTGATTTATCAGGGGGAGGTCGGGCGGGGGGGCATCTTCACTGTTTCCTGGAGAGCTGCAGGGGGACATGGGGGTTCTGAATGTGCCCCTCGCATGCAGAGCTGGGGTTCAAGGGCCCCCAGGAACCCCTGATGTTTGCTCTGCATGTGCTGCCCAGTGTGCACGGTGTCCACCGGGAAACCCAGGTTTCCCTGGTCATCCTCTGCTTGCGAGCAGTGCATTCGACCAGTCCTTCCAGGAACTGCTGGGCTCGGCTGCTGGGGGAGGGTCTGGGGGTCTGGGGACAATGGTGGATTCATAGACAGTAGGGGAAGCTTTGGGAAAGTATCCACAGGTGTGCTGAGCACTGGGTCTCTGCTCCCCCTATGAAGTGTGTGTGTGTGTGTAGGGTGGGGGCGGTGCTTGGAAATTCCAGATTCAGTTCTGAGCTCTCCAGGAGAGCCAAGCAATGAATCAGAGGCGAGTTTGTAGAGCACCTTGAACTATGGCAAGCCAAGAGTGACATTTAGCATTAGTGTTCAACTCCCATCCCTCAATCCCTCAACCCCCTCCCCCTACTGTTTCTTCTCCTTTTCTTTTGTTTGGCCAATGGAACCTTCCACCCTCCCCTCCCTTCCCCAACCGCCAACCTTCCCTGCCAGAGACTGAGCCCAGAGTGGGCCCTGATGGGGGAGACAGGGACACTTTGTGCTGTAATCGGTGCTATGGCTGAGGGCTAGCTTGATGTAGCAGCAGAAGCCGTGGCTGGAGGAAAGAAGGCTGGGCCTTGGCTGGAGAATTTCAAGTTGATTCCAGGGCCTGGGTGGGAGCTCTCTCTCTCATGCAGGTACCTTCTAGGCACTTCTGGCGTTCACCTGAACTCGGAAGGAGTTAGAGAGAAAAGGCTGGGATGTAAGAGTGTTTGGCTCTGTGGATAATAAATTCATTTCCCAAAAGCTTATGTTGGTGGAATGAAAGATGGATATAAAATTGCACTCTCAGTTCCATGAATGTTACTCCTGGCTGTGTGCTCAGGGGTCTCTCCTGGTGGTGCTTAGAGACCATATATGGGGTGTGTGTGTGTGTGTGTGTAATCTTTACCCAGTACTTACTCTCCAGTACTGAAGTCATTTTTTATTTTGCTCTAGTTGGTTTTATTATCTTTAAAAAATAATTTTTAGGGGCTGGAGCCAAAGTACAGTGGGTAAGGCTTTGCCTTGTACGCAGCCAACCCAGGTTGGATTTCCAGCATCCCATATGTCCCCTGAGCACTGCCAGGAGTAATTCCTGAATGCAAAGCCAGGAGTAACCCCTGTGCATCGCCGAGGGTGACCCAAAAAGTAAAAGAAAAATATATTTTTTTAACTAAGGACCCTTAACTAAAGACCCATGACTTTGCAGCTTTGACCTCGGATTTCAGAGTTAGGGCACTCAAACTCAATACATCAGGATCCTCCGTGAGCTGTGTTACGGATTCACTACCAGGATCTCACCATTCTACAAAGAAGTAATCATTGATGTCAAGAGAGGGGTTCTGCAGGGTGATACCATTTCACCGAAACTCTTCAGTGCCACCCTCGAGAACATCATGCAACGACTAGAATGGGAAGGAATGGGAGTGAAGATAGATGGTCGGCAACTACACCACCTCCGCTTTGCTGATGACATTGTTTTAATAACACCAAACATCAGCCAAGCAGCACAAATGCTGGCTGACTTTGACTGTGAGTGTGGAAAGGTAGGACTACAGCTGAATCTTACGAAGACAATGTTTATGAGAAACAGCCTCATTCCTGATGCCCCATTTGCTCTCAATGGAACGACCATCTCTGAATGCAACGGTTATGTGTACCTAGGTCGAGAAGTCAACCTGGCTTCTGAATGAATGACCTGGCACCTGAGTTGTGCAGGAAGAAAAGAGTGGCTTGGTACGCCTTCAAGAGCGTCGAAGAAATAGCTAAGAGGATGAAGAACCTCCGGCTCCGGGCACATCTCTTTGATTCCACTGTTGTTCCTGAGGAATTGAAAGAGCTATGCTTGGAGTATCACGTTTCACTCAAATGAGAGAAAGAATCCAGAGTTCCGATCTCCATAAGTGATAAAGAATCAGTGACGCTGTCTCGTTTGCCAAGGCGTCAAAAATCAGATGGGCTGGTCACGTAATGAGATTTAGAGATGACCGCTGGACTAGAGCCGTTACCGACTCGATTCCACGGGACGTCAAAAGACCACGTGGCTGCCCACCTATCAGATGGTCAGACTTCTTCATCAAGATCATGAATGATCGATTTGAGGCTCTTCGTGTTCCTAGAATGAACAGACACCATTGGGCTACACTAGCACGCGATAGGGACGAATGGAGATGTTACTGGCGCCCGCTTGAGCAAATCGAGGATTAACGGGAAGTCAAGTGATCAAGTGAACTAAGGACCCTTAACTAAAGACCCATGACTTTGCAGCTTAGACCTCGGATTTCAGAGTTGCCAAGCCTGGTGTGCTCTCCTGCTCTCCTATTTTGCCAGTATAACCAAAGCCCTGAGCCCTGTCCCCACATCACTGCCCTTTCTCATCGTCTTCTTCCCCTCTTTGATTTCTTTCCTTCGCTGTCCTTCTCCTCCTAAGCCCTGGGGTCAGGGGTGGCCTCTGCACCCCCCTTTACTACATTACATTTCCCCATCCAGCTCTCTGTATACCACAGATAAGTGAGGCATTCCTGTGTTCGTCTTCTTTTCCTGGCTTACTTCACTCGACATGGTATCTTTTAGTGACAAATCCTGAAGTCACTTTTAAAAGTTATACACTGGGTTTGCTTGGAAACAAAGGAGCAGCAGAAATGACAAGACAGGCCTGCATGGGTGTTTTCCTGGGTCCTCACCAGGTGCCCTCAGATGCCCCTTCCTGCAGTTCCCCAGAAAGAGGGGGCAGGTGACCCTCGGGTACCATATGTCCTGTAGCTCCTTCTTCTCTGCGGTGGCAGCTGGCACAGAGTGCCGAGGATTAATGCAGATGCTGCATAAACTTATCCTCTGGTCAAGATCTTGCTCTAAAAGCATCTCTTGTCAATCGTTTGGATAATTCCGGAGCCAATGAGCTGTGTCCTTGGTCCTGGAAGAGCCAACGGGCTGCGTCCCTGGTCCTGGAAGAGCCAACGGGCTGCGTTCCTGGTCCTGGAAGAGCCAGTGGGCTGCGTCCTTGGCACTGGGAAAGAGTCAGAGGGTGGCACTTGAGGCGCAGAGAAGGCACTGCCAGGTGCTCTGTGTGTCTTGGGTCTGGCTTGTCTGAATTGTGGGTGATGAGGATGGCTCGAGGCTTTAGCACCTCTTCAATGCGCTGTTTTTGCTGTTTCTGAACACGAAACCTGCAGGGTGGATGCATGGCACCTGGGTGGGTAGTTGCGAGCAGTTTGGTACCACCCTTGAAACAAA